CTGATATCCGCCCTGGCAGGACCTGTTCTTCTACTCCTTCTAGGCTTAACATGTGGGCCGATCATTATTAACCGCCTCATGGCTTTTGTAAAGGATCGTATCCAAGCCATTAAGCTCCTTGCCTTAGCATCCCAGTATAGAAGAATTTCCCTAACTGATGAAACCCAGATATAAGCATCGCTAATGACAGACTTCTTGCTTGTGAAACAGTGCTTGCTTGCTTGCTTGCTTGCTTGCTTGCTTGCAAACAAAGGAGGCCAAGGATTTGACCTCAGGAAAGGAACTAAAAGCAGTGGGGAATGAGGAGTGAAAGATTACTGACCTTGCCTGGAGGGCAGAAAGTTACTACTCCCTCCCCCTCCTGGACCTGAAGACCAAATCAACAGTCTGGGTTAGTCAAGGCTGAAGGCCAAATCAGCAGTCTGGGATAGTCAAGGCTAAGATAGCAGAACAAACCAAGGAGGGAGATTAGGCCATCTGGCTGATGCATGCAATCACAAGGTTAAGACCACCACCCCCCTTGTTTGGAATGTGCTTGTTTGAAGAATGCTTAAAAAGAGAGAGACCGCTTTGTAGCTGCTGCTACTTCTGGCCGCGCCATTGCCACGGCGGCAGCCCAGATTCGAATCTGCAATAAAATTTGTAATTAGACTCCGCAATTGGCTAGTTGGAGTTATTTCCCGGGTAGGGGTCTCTGCCTCTTGGGTGGTCTCATCTCCATTCAACAGAAAACGTATAGTTGGGTCATGTTTTTGTATCAACTTAGCTACCCTATGCCTTTTGATTGGAGCATTTAATTAATTTACATTTAGGGTTATTATTGAGAGGTACTTATTTAATTCTGTATGGCTAGGTTTCTCTCTCTCTGTTTCTTCTTCTCAGCAATCCCTTACAGCTATTCCTTTAGCATTTTTTGTACTGCTTAGTGGTGATGAACTCCTTTAGCCTTTTTTTTTTTTTTTTTTTTTTTTTTTAATAAAACTGGGAAGCTCTTTGACCATCTATTTTGAATGATAGCCTTGCTGGATATAGTAATCTTGGTTTCAGATCCTTGCTTTCCATTACCTTGAGTACTTTATGCCATTCCTTTCTGACCTGTAGAGTTTCTGATGAGAAATAATGTGTCAGCCTTATGGGAACTCTTTTGTAGGTAACAGTTTTCTCTTGCTGTTTTCAAAATTCTCTCTTTGTCTCTAATTTTTGGCATTTGAATTATGATGAGTCTGGGCATGAGTCTGTTTGAGTTCTTCTCATTTGGGTTTCTCTGTGCCTCCTGAATTCGTGTCACTTTTTTCTTTACTAGATTAGAGAAGTTTTCTGCCATTATTTCTTCAAACACATTCTCTATTCCTTTCTCCCTTTCTGCCTTTTCTGGCACACCTGCTATTGTCATATTGTTACATTTCATGTTGCCCTACAGCTCCCTAAAGCTATCCTCCTGTTTTTTAATTGACTTTTTTTTCTCTTTTTGGTTCTCTAATTGAGTGATATTTTCAACTCTATCTTCTAATTCACTGATTCGATCCTCACCTTTCCCTAATTTACTGTGTACTTTTTTTTATTTACTGTGTATTTTTTTTATTTGTGTTATGTCATTCTTTATCTCAGACTGTTCTTTTTTAATAGTTACTATGTTTTTTCATACTGTTGAGAATTTTTACCATCATTACTCTGAACTTTTGTTTCAGGTACATTTCTTATATCTTCTTCATTTATCTCTTCTCCTTGAGAAATCTCTAGTTCTTTCGTTTGGAGGTTGTTTCTTTGTCTCCTCATTTTTGTTGTCTGTTTAAGTTGTGACTATGTTTTAGGTATATCCTCTACACCTCTCAATCTCTATTGCAGGACAGTGTTAAATATTATTTCTGACTAATTGAATTAGGCAAAGACTCAAAGCCTGCAGAGACTGCCTCTGCCTACAGACTGATAGGATTCCTATGTGAATTCCCCCAGGCAATTGTCTTCAAGTGTAGGGAGAGTTTTCCTGAAGGCTGTTAATTTTAATCACTTAAGTGGCCTTGGGGCAATGTATTTTCCAATAGTTTGTGTCAACTGTCTTCCCTCCAGGCAAGGCAAATGTCTATGTGGGAAAGATGTCCTCTTCTGTGTGAGGGAATGACTCTGCACAGGAAACTTGGGGTATCTGCCTTCTGAGCTCTATCTCCTGAATCCTCAGTCCTATGTTCTGCTCTCACATCTCCAGTCCACTTCATTCTCCCTCTGCCAGGGCACAAGGTGGGTGGCTCCACAGGGAATTTTTGTGCACTGGCCCTTCAAGAGGGTGCCCAAACTTTCAGCACCCACTCCCTGGAAGACAGCACCACACTGCTTTTTACAACTAGATGCTATGTAGGTACCCTCCTCAGATTTGGTGCCTTTTGCTGGGGAGCCCAATTTGAGGGTTAGATCACAGAGTTCTCAGTGGCAACTCCCCTCCCCACAGCTGAGATATCGCTCCCTGACTTCAGTTGCTGTCTGTGGGTGCCTGGCCAGCCCTTTCCTGCTTCTGCCCCTCCTACCACTCTATTAAGTCTCTGCCTTTGGTCCTCAGGTATCAGGATTCTCTCCTGTAAGTTTTCCATTCAGGAAGCCTTTCTGTATTTCACTTGAAATTCCAGCTTGTTCCTGGGAGCATGTTCATGCAGCATTCACTTACTCTGCCGCCATTTTAATCTGCCTCCAACTTTAATGTACTTAAAAATTACCCAGAACATTGGTTCTCTCTCTCTCTCTCTCTCTCTCTCTCTCTCTCTCTCTCTCTCAAAATCCTCATGTGAGGATTTGTTTTTAGAGAGAGGGTGATAGGGAGGAGGGAGAGAGAGAGAACAAGAGAGAGGGGTGGCGAAAAAGAGAACAAGAGAGAGGGGTGGATATAGAGAGAAACATCAGTGTGAGAGTGAAACATCCATTAGTTGCCTCCCATCCCTACTCTGAATAGGGATCAAACCCACAACCTAGGTATGTGCCCTGTCCCAAACCTGAAACTTTTTGGTATATAGGACAATGGTCCAACCAATTGAGCCACCAAGCCAGGCATGTTTGTTTTTGTGTTTTTTGTTTTTTTTTAATTTTCTTTCCTGTGATAAGAACTTCAAGACTTACTCTCTTAACAACTTTCAAATACACAATAGAACATTTTAAACTATAGTCACCATGCCATGCTTTACATCCCAATGACTTATTTATTTTATTACTAAAGCTTGTTCTTTAGTTATGCAGTTTATATCATTAACCCTTTTTACCCATTTCACCCCATGCCCACTTCACAACCACCAATCTGTTCTCTCTATATATGAGCTTGTTCATGTGTGTGTGTGTGTGTGTATGTGTGTGTGTGTGTGTGTGTGTGTGTGTGTGTATGTTTAAGATTCTACATTTAAGTGATACCATATGGTATTTGTCTTTCTCTTTCTGACTTATTTCACTTAGCATAACACCCTCAGGCTTTATTCATATTGTTACATATGGCAAGAGTTCATTATTTTTTAACACCAAATAAAATTCTATTGTATATATACAAACACATCTCAGATGTATTGTGGGTGCAGTTCCACACCATTGAAATAAAGCAAATATAGCAATAAAGCAAGCCACTGTTTTCCAGTGCATATACAAATTTGGAGTTACACAATAGTCTATTAAGTGTATAATAGCATATGTCTAAAAAACAATATACATACCTAAATTAAAAAAAAAATTCTTTATTGGGAAAAAAGTGCTAACTATCATGTTAGCCCTCAGCTACTCATAATCTTTTTGCTGGTGGAGGTTCTTTTTTTAAGTTAATGTGCATATATAGGAAACTGAAAAACACAAGCAAAGAACGAAGCCATCCATAATCACAAGCAGTTTACAGTCTGACGTGTCCTTCTAAATCCTATGTACCTACACAACTAAGCTTTCAATTTTATGTAATTAAGATGGTATAGTTATGTATCATGCTTTCTCACACATCATGAATATTTACCATTTCAAAGTCCCAAAGCTATGAGTATTTTGATAACCAAGAATATCCTACATCAACTCAACCTGGAAGAAAATGTAATCCTGCCTTACTTGGTGATAAAAATTTTATAAAGGATAAAAATATCAACAGACTTCTAGATAAAAGATATTCACAAAGTTGCAATTAAAATAATGTGTTACCTTAAAGTTCCATTAAAAATGTGACCCAAAGCAAGAGTACACAAAGTATGATTCTAAGAGAATTATGATTTATACTTTAAAATATTAGCAAAGTGGCAAATTTTTTAAAAATGTATTTTATTGAGTTTTTACAGAGAGGAAGAGAGAGGGATAGAAAGCTAGAAACATCGATCAGCTGCCTCTGCACACCCCCGACTAGGGATGTGCCCACAACCAAGGTACATGCCCTTGACTGGAATCGAACCTTGGACCTTTCAGCCGACGATCTATCCACTGAGCCAAACCGGTTTCGGCATGGTGGCAAGTTTTGACTGAAGTACTTAACAACATATTCCTATAGCACAGTCTAAAGAGATGCACACACATCAGTGGTTATCACCACAATGTGAATATGAACACATCCACACACACCCCTCGCATGAACAACTCCTGATGTCCATTTCTGAGATGGTTCAACAACTCCATGTCCAAGATGCCTCTTTTCTAATAATTATAACAAAAACATATTTACAGATTGGTTAATTCACTAGCTCTACTTTTTATCAGATGTTTTCACCTCAGAACATCTAAAAAGCTCCAATGTTGCAAAATAAAGAAAGAACCTTGTCCACAATAAACACAGGAACGTTAAAGAATTCATATAGACCTACAGTTATAACTAAAACTTTATTCTAGGTATTGAGATATTAGCAAAGAGCCCTGACCTTCACCCTTCCTCTTCTCCTTCCTCCACCATGCCAGTGACTAAATACAGAACACCTGGCTCCAAGAGGTGGATTAACAAAGACACTTTCAGATGACAGTCCTTCCTAAAAGCTAACAAGAGGGCTTTTATAAAGGGATTATTTTAATACCTCTACTTTTAATATACTTCAGGGATTATCTTTGAATGCACAGCAATATTAACTAATATGCACATATACAACAATGGTTAGATAATTTTAATTTCTCTAAAGACTCATGGGCACAGAACCCTTTTTTCTTTACTTCCTTCCCTTATGAACAGTCAGCATACTCTCCAAGACATCAACTATAACAATTCCATTCCTCAAATACCACCATTCCTATAAATTAACAAAAAAAAATACTTAAAGGGTGTGACTTTAACTCTTTTAACAGATGTTGTTCAAACATCTAGAGAGACTAGCCATAAAGACTTAATTAAACTGCACATAGAGACTATAATCTGAAAGTGTCTTCTGAATAGGAAGGAACTTTCTGGCCTAAAACTATTCCCCTTTTCATATCTGTCAACAGAGTGGACAGTACAATAAGCATCTGTAATGCTTAAAGATGATTTTAACAATTTTACTTCTCATGTTTTCAGAACAGTTCTTAGGAATCTAACAAAAACAATACACCATGTATTTCTTTACTAACTACTTCTGTCATACACTGGAAACATCTGTAACATCTATCAATAGAAAGGCTAGAAGTTGTAAACTAGAACAGTTTGTCCTTCACATACACTATATCCACAGCTAAGTAAAACACAATGCATAGGCACAAGAGAAGATGATTAATCATGCCTAACTATAAACATACTGGTATAAAGCTCTTTGCACTTTCTTCTCCTTCCTCTCTGAACCAGTACAGATATAATAATGTGTACCACTAAAAGACATGGTTTGATCATCCCAATTCTAAAACATAATACTTGAAATGAATCTTAACAAAAGGATATATACAAAATATGTTATTTTGCTATCTCTGCTTTTAACATACTTTGTGCACTTCTAAACATCTAGAAAGACTAGATGTTTCAAATAAGGACTTAAGTTTGTCCACTATATACACAATAGTGTTGAATAAACCACACAAAACAATATACACACTTAAATTAAAAGATACTTTATTACTAAAAAATGCTAACCATCATGTTAGCCTCCAGTCAGTCATAATCTTTTTGCTGGTGGAGATCCTTACCTTTAATTTATAAAACCCACAATATATGTGAGGCACAATAAAGTGGAGCGCAATAAAATGAGGTATGCCTCATTACAATTTCTTTGTCCATTCCTCCATTGATGGACATTAAGGTTGTTTCCATATATTGGCTATCGATATTTTAAATAATGTCATAATTAACAAGCAGGTTAATTTTTCTGCATTAGTGCTTTTGTTTGTTTTCTTTGGATAAATATCCAGAAGTATAATTGCTGGGTCATATAGTAGGTGTATTTTAAATCTTTTTATGAGGAACCTTCATTCTATTTTCTGTAGTAGCTATGCCAATTTACCTTCCCACCAACAGTGCCAAAGTGTTCTCTTTTCTCCACAATTTCACCAATACTTGTTATTTGTTGATAGTCATTCTGAGAAGTGTAAGATAATTTCCTATTTTCATTCTGATTAGCATTATCCTGATTAATGATGTTGAGCATCTTTTCATGTACCTGTTGGCCATCTGTATGTCTTCTTTGAAAAAAATGTCTATTCAGTCATTCTGCCCTTTTTTAAATTAATTTTTATTTGCTTTTAGATTGTGACAGGGGACTTGTTAAAATGCATTATCTGATTGAGAAGGTTCGAGTAGGGTCAGATACCCTATATTTCTTACATACTCCAAGGTGAGATTAATAAGGTTACACTTACAAACATACAGTAATGAAATGTTATTGCTTATGATATGGTATCAGACAAATCAGAATTTTAATCAAAGCTTATGTATTTAATGACATCTCATTTTGACAAATTGAAGTTTCTATGTTTCAATTTCCTATTCAGTAAAACTGAAATAAAAGTATCTGTCTTATGACAATTTTGTGGCTATTAAACAAAATATTAAATATTGTGGACATTAACTTAAATACTTAGAACATGTATGTATGTATGTTTGAATGCATGTATGTTTGTCTTTATTATTGTGACTAGTATTCAAACATACTATACCTCAAAGTGAAGACCATAACAAGAGCCAAGAAAGACCACTGCATAATTCTAAAGGTATTGATACTAGAAGATGACATGACTGATAAATATTTATGCACCCAATGCAGGAATACCCAAATATATATATATATATATATATATATATATATATATATATATATATATATACACACATACTTGTGTAAGATATCAGGGGTGAGATTAACGGCAACACAATCAAAATAGGAGACTTTATTTTTTAATTTTTTCCAAGTTTTTATTTTTTCCCATTTTTTAGTTAAGGTATTATATGTGTACATATCTTACCATTGCCCCTTGCCTCCCATAATGCCCTCACCCCCCAATGTTTTGAATCCGTTGGTTATTCTTATATGCATGCATACAAGTCCTTCGGTTGATCGCTTACCTCCCCCACCTCTCCTTAACTTTCCCGCTGTAATTTGACAGTATGTTGGATGCTTTACTGCCTCTGTGTGTTTTTGTTCATCAGTTTATACTGTTCTTTATTGTCCAAAAATGAGTGAGATCATGTGGTATTTTTCTTTCATTGATTGGCTTATTTCACTTAGCATAATGTTCTCTAATTCCATCCAGGTCGCTGCAGATGATAAGAATCCCTTCTTTATGGCAGCATAGTATTCCATTGTGTAGATATACCATAGTTTTCTGATGCAGTAATCTACTGCCAGGCACCTAGGCTGTTTCCAAATCTTAGATATTGCTGCTATGAACATAGGGGTGAATATTAATATATCCTTTCTGATTGGTGTTTCTAGTTTCTTAGGATATATTCCTAGGAGTGGGATTACTGGGTCAAATGGGAGTTCCCTTTTCAGTTTTTTGAGGAAACTCCATACTGTTCTCCACAGTGGCTGCACCAGTCTGCATTCCCACCAGCAGTGCACTAGGGTTCCTTTTTCTTCGCACCCTCCTCAACACTTGTCATTTGTTGATTTGTTGATGATAGCCATTCTGACAGGTGTGAGATGCTACTGCATTGTCGTTTTGATTTGCATCTCTCAGATAATTAGTGATTTTGAGCATGTTTTCATGTGTCTCTTGTCCTTCATTTTGTCTTCTTTTGAAAATATTCTATTTAGGTCCATTGCCCATTTTTTATTGGATCATTTATCTTCCTCTTATTAAATTGTATAAGCTTTCTGTAGATGTTGAAGATTAAATTTTTATCAGTGATAACATTTGCAAATATATTCTCCCTTACAGTGGGATTTCTTTTTTTATTGATGGTTTTTTTTTGCTGTCAAAAGCTTTTTAGTTTAATGTAGTCCCATTTGTTTATTTTCTCTTTAGCTTCCAGTGCCTTAGGAGCAGTATCAGTGTAGGAGTTCTTCAGCATATGTCTGAGATTTCACTGCTTGTGGATTCCTCTAGTATTTTTATGGTTTTGGGTCTTATGTTTAAGTCCTATGTCTATTTTGAGTTTATTTTTTGTTTATGGTATAGGTTGGTGATCTAGTTTCATTTTTTTTTTGCATGTATCTATCCATTTTTCCCAGCACCATTTATTGAATAGACTGTCTTCACTCAACTGTATGTTGATGCCTCCTTTGTCAAATATTGAGCATAGAGTTTTGGATGGATATCTGGATTCTCTATTCTATTCCATTGATCTATATGTCTGTTCTTGTGCCAGTACCAGGCTGTTTTGAGGACAGTGGCTTTGTAATACAGCTTGAAATCTGGTATTGAGATCCCTTCTACATTATTCTTCTTTTTCAGGATTGCTGTGGGTGTTCAGGGTCTTTTTTTATTCCAGATGAAGTTTTGGAGAGTTCTTTCTAGGTCTGTGAAATATGCCATTAGTACTTTAATGGGGAGTGCATTGAATCTATAGATTGTGTTAGATAATATGGACATTTTAATGATGTTTGTTCTACCAATCCATGAACATGATATGTTCTTCCATCTGTTTATGTATTCCTCTATCTCTTTTTTCAGTGTCCTGTAGTTTTCCTTTTTATGGGTCTTTTACCTCCTTAGTTAAGTTTATGCGTAGGTATCTTATTTTTTATTTTTATTTTTGGTGTGATGGTAAATGGGATAAAGTCACTATTGGTGTATCAAAAGGCCATAGATTTCTTGGTGTTAATTTTGTATCCTGCTACATTGCCAGATTTCATTTATTTAATCTATTAGTTTTTTATGGAGTCTTTAGTAGGGTTTTTTATGTACAATATCATGTCATCTGCAAATAAGGACAGCTTTACTTCTTCTTTTCCAATTTGTATGCCTTTCATTTCTTTTTCTTGTCTAATTGCAATGGCTAATACTTCCAGTACTATGTCAAACAGGAGTGGTGAGAGTAGGAATCCCTGTCTTGTTCCTATTCTTAGGGGAAATGGTTTTAGTTTTTGCCCATTGAGCATGATGTTAGCTGTGGGTTTATCATATATAGCTGTTATTACGTTGTTGAAGTATGATTTTTCTATTCCCACATTGTTGAGAGTTTTTATCAAGAATGGATGTTGAATTTTGTCAAATGCTTTTTCTGCATCAATTGATATGATTACGTGATATTTATCTCTCAATTTGTTTATGTGATGTATCACATTTGTGGGTATTGTACCATTCTTGTATTCCTGGGATAAATCCTACCTGGTCATGGTGTATGATCTTTCTAATCTACTGCTGGATCCTATTTGCTAGAATTTTGTTGAGGATTTTGGCATCTATGTTCATGAGGGATATTTGCCTATAATTCTCTTTCATTGTGTTGTCTTTATCTGGTTTTGGTATTAGGGTGATGTTGGCTTCATAGAATGGGCGTGGAAGTGTTCCTTCCTCTTGAATTTTTTGTAATAGTCTGAGGAGGATAGGCTTTAGTTCTTCCTTGAATGTTTGGTAAAATTCTCCTGTGAAGCTGTCTGGCCCCGGGTTTTTGTTTGCTGGAAGCTTTTTGATGACTGCTTCAAATTCTTCCATATTATTGGCCTATTGAGCTGTTTAGATTCTTCCCAATTGAGTTTTAGAAGGTTATATTTTTCTAGGAATATGTCCATTTTTTCCAGGTTGTCCAGTTTGTTGGAATAGAGTTGTTCATAGTATTTTTTAACAATCCTTTGTATTTCGGTGGGGTCTGTTGTTATTTTACCTCTTTCATTTCTGATTTTGTTTATTTGGGTCCTTTCTATTTGCTTCTTGGTGAGCCTGGCTAGAGGTTCATCAATCTTATTTATCCTTTCAAAGAACCAGCTCTTAGTTTTGTTGATCGTTTGTATCATTTCTTTGTTCTT